TTACCATTAATAACAGGAATAATTTGATGTTTTTTTATAACCTTTTTGTGAGAATTCTGAGATTATTCTCAGACTTTTAGAATTTGATTTTGATTTTAAATTCTGAATTTTTTTTCTGGTAAATCTGCTTGGAATTCTCACTAATCTCTCTAATCTCATCACTTTGCCCCTTGAATTCTTTTTTTCGCAGAATTCTCACTATTTTACTTGGAATTCTGCCTAATTCTCAGAATTAAGTTTCTCCTCGTTTCTCCTTGGAGAGAATTTCCTTTTCTTTTTTTAATCCCAGAATTCGATTTTTTTCTCAGGAATTTCACTTTTTCTCTGAATTCTCACTATTTTACTTGTAATTCTTACTAAATTCTCAGAATTTTGCTCCATGTTTTTCTCAGACTTCTGATTTTCTCATCATAAATCTGACTGTCAAAATTCTAAAAGTCAAATTTAAAGAGAATAAAGTTAGAATTCTGGGTGTTGATGGTTGTGGATCAGAATTTCAGAATATTGAGATTAATATTTTAAAGGTCAAGATTCCAAGGATAGTCAGAATTCTGAGCGAATTTACCTTATCTTTTAATTTACTTGTGCCTTATTTACAGTGGTTTGCGAAAGTATTCGGCCCCCTTGAACTTTCCACATTTTGTCACATTACAGCCACAAACATGAATCAATTTTATTGGAATTCCACGTGAAAGAGCAATACAACGTGGTGCACACGTGAGAAGTGGAACGAAAATCATACATGATTCCAAACATCTTTTACAAATAAATAACTGCAAAGTGGGGTGTGCGTAATTATTCAGCCCCCTTTGGTCTGAGTGCAGTCAGTTGCCCATAGACATTGCCTGATGAGTGCTAATGACTAAATAGAGTGCACCTGTGTGTAATCTAATGTCAGTACAAATACAGCTGCTCTATGACGGTGTCAGAGGTTGTCTAAGAGAAATTTGGGAGCAACGACAGCATGAAGTCCAAAGAACACACCAGACAGGTCAGGGATAAAGTTATTGTAGCAGGCTTAGGCTACAAAAAGATTTCCCAACCTTGAAAATCCCACGGAGCACTGTTCAATCAATCATTCAGAAATGGAAGGAGTATGGCACAACTGTAAACCTACCAAGACAAGGCCGTCCACCTAAACTCACAGGCCGAACAAGGAGAGCGCTGATCAGAAATGCAGCCAAGAGGCCCATGGTGACTCTGGACGAGCTGCAGAGATCTACAGCTCAGGTGGGGGAATCTGTCCATAGGACAACTATTAGTCGTGCACTGCACAAAGTTGGCCTTTATGGAAGAGTGGCAAGAAGAAAGCCATTGTTAACAGAAAACCATAAGAAGTCCCGTTTGCAGTTTGCCACAAGCCATGTGGGGGACACAGCAAACATGTGGAAGAAGGTGCTCTGGTCAGATGAGACCAAAATGGAACTTTTTGGCCAAAATGCAAAACGCTATGTGTGGCGGAAAACTAACACTGCACATCACTCTGAACACACCATCCCCACTGTCAAATATGGTGGTGGCAGCATCATGCTCTGGGGGTGCTTCTCTTCAGCAGGGACAGGGAAGCTGGTCAGAGTTGATGGGATAGGAGGACATAAAGCCAGGGCAACAATGGAACGGTTTAAAACAAAACATATCCATGTGTTAGAATGGCCCAGTCAAAGTCCAGATCTAAATCCAATCGAGAATCTGTGGCAAGATCTGAAAACTGCTGTTCACAAACGCTGTCCATCTAATCTGACTGAGCTGGAGCTGTTTTGCAAAGAAGAATGGGACAAAGATTTCAGTCTTAGATGTGCAAAGCTGGTAGAGACAGACCCTAAAAGACTGGCAGCTGTAATTGCAGCAAAAGGTGGTTCTACAAAGTATTGACTCAGGGGGCTGAATAATTACGCACACCCCACTTTTCAGTTATTTATTTGTAAAAAATGTTTGGAATCATGTATGATTTTCGTTCCACTTCTCACGTGTACACCACTTTGTGTTGGTCTTTCACGTGGAATTCCAATAAAATTGATTCATGTTTGTGGCTGTAATGTGACAAAATGTGGAAAGTTCAAGGGGGCCGAATACTTTTGCAAGCCACTATATTTAAAACAAAATCACTATAATTTCTGAAGAGTGCACAGAGCACTTATCCAGTTTAAAATAATATCTTGTATTGTATACAGTTACATACTTTTGCCATGGAAAAAATAGAATTTCTGTAAGTTTAGCAGCTTATTGATCAGTGTATACATGGGTATGTATGTGTGTATACACGTGTGTACATGTGACGATGTACTGCAATAAACGAGCACATAAAATAGGGCATCCCTTGCTAAACCACTTATCAGCACACACACAGATATGCTCCAGTGGGATCTTTTCTTCCTGCTTCCTGTTGCTCAATAATTCAGTCGGTCCAGAGTGGAGGCTATAGTTTCCAACCATGAGAAGATGTGTTCGAGTGTGTATCCGCATGAACAGATGGGGCCATTAGTATCAATGCTGTTTTTGACGGCATTTAGCTTGTAAGTGCACGTATTGATTTTACGAGCTTATTGACGTCCATTTTTCCATTTGTACAGTAAACAGCGGATAAAAGCGAGAAAGAAAAAAAAGGAGAGGGAAACCGCTGGCTTTTGAAGCATGTGGTCCCCCTCACTCTCTGTCCCAGTAATGGCTTATTGAATTAGGACAGCAAATATTTTTAGTCGCCACCACCGGCTGTGAGAAAACGTAGCCTGTATTTCAGTAAATGGTAAACTTGCTGTCTGTTGATACGTTTCATGTGAGACTGGGATGCACACACACACACATGCACACAAAGCGAAGAAACCTCTGCTGGCTGTAGTAAGCACCCAGTTTCCTCCCTTAGTCCATCATTGCATCAGGGCCTTTGATGTGCCTCAGTGCTTGGCCGAGAGTCCCCATCAGCTAAGAGTTTATCTGCTGGGCTTGCAGCTCGCTGGTTTGAAGCTGTTGGCCTTGCATATGTTGAAGATGAGAAATTAGGAGCGATTACACTAAGAAAGATGGGGAGCGGGGGTGAGTATGGGGAAGGCTCGAAGAGCAAAAAAGAAAGAAAAAGACTTAAGAGATGGAGTGAGTATTTCAGATAATTTCCCATGTAGGGGATATTAGCAAGCTTGTGGGTGCATTTATTTCAGAAAGTGCCTTGCCGTGCATTTAAAATTCAAAGCTACAAAAGCACTGAGAAGAGTTATAAATATCTACCAATCATCTGAAAACTTAAAACTACTGATAACTGAAGAAAATAACAGTGATTATCTCATTATAGTGCAAGGTTACGCTGGGATATATTGGATCCTGGCATCCATGCGGATGTTAATTTGTCACTTGCCACCCCTGCACAATAGCGGCGATCTCCCCAGCAATGCAAAAACTGCTCAGGAACAGCTCAAGGAACCCAGCAAAGAGACCGGGATGTTCAACCAGAATTCCAAATCCACATATTTAAACTGGATTGAGCATCCGTTGGATTATATCTAACAATGCTTTACCTGTGAAACCACAGAATTCAAATGATCTGCTGTCAACGTCTTGGTTCCCCTCCCCCCGTCCAAACCTTACAGACCACACAAGATGGGACCTTGGCAAAATTAAGCAGGTGGTTTTTTAAATGTTGTGCCTGATTAGTGCATTTTCCCTATTCTCTTAGTTGTTTTCCCCATGACAACAGGCTAATTTTCTTATCCAACAAAGCCTCCTTTCTCTTCATTGAACTAATTGTTATCTTGAGACGGCCACTGACAAGGCGATGGCAGCAGCGGTGGAAGAGCGAGCTTCAAAACAGCATAAATAAGCAGAGAAAGCAAGAGAGAAATTGGATGAGGTGGTTCAAATTTAAATATTATTCATCTGGAGAAAGAAATGTGCAAACACACTGGAAGATGATGGTTCTTCATGTCTGGCAAACACCACTCAGGAGTCAGATTAATTCAAAACATAAACATGACTGTTTTTAGCGGCGCTGAATTCTCCTACAGTCCACAAACATGATTCATGGAGGTCCTGGTGGATCTTTAATCTTTCTGTAAATGTTCAACTAGCTGCCTTCCATTTCCAGGTACAACCTCTAGCATCCATTTTCTTCCATTTATCCAATTCTAATTTGTTTTCATTTTATTTTGAAACTTCTATTCTATCATGCATTTTTTCCATAAAGTTGTGTCCATATTCATTTTATAGTCATTTCAGGCTGTATTATCAAGATAATTATGAACAGTGTGAGTACAGTTGTTTGGAAAACGTACCTTCTTTGTCTGCATGTATGTTGTTTTCTCACATACAATTTCCTGGGTTTGCAGTCAAATCTTCTCATATCCTGTGTGGGCATTATGACATCAATGGATTTTAAGGCAAAGAGGGGAAACAGCAGCACAGGGACCTGTGTCTGCAGACAGAGGGTCAAGTATTATTGTGTAAAACCATAAGACCCTGCAGGGAAAATTCACAACTTATGATAATGGAACATATGAATATGACTAGCTTGACTGGACACTTTATGTGACACTGTGTAAATTATGAATACAAACAGTATACAATACAATAATCTAAAAGTTGTTTACAGCCAACATTTATTTGATAACAGTGCAGATAACAGAGCCAGTACGTGAACATATCAAATATTGAGTTAACAGTATTTGTTAATCTTCAGGATAAGTGGTGCCTACACAGATGTAAAGCTGGCTTTTCCACTATCCTACAAACCCAACCTAACCATGACCATAACCACAACATTCCCCTGACCCTGAAAAAAAAACCCCCACCTAATTTGTTGGTGAACCTTCATCGGAGTGGGGATTGACAATCACACACAATAGAGAGATGCACACTCCGCGTAAACTCCTAAAATCCCAAATTCGTGCAAGTTTGGGATTGCCCTGGAATACCATAGGTGCGATATTAAATGAGTACACCTACTATCTGAACTGTTGCAGTATAATGATTCCCATATTCCAAACACGGTCTCTCTCTCCCCCTCTCTCTCTCTCTCTCTCTCTCTCTCCACTGTGCGGCGGTTTGATGGGTCGGTCGGTGAAGCTGCTTCTTGGCTCCTGAGCTCCGAGAGAGAGATAAGCCGGCTGCAGAGGTAAGGGACGGGGAGAAGGGGGAGAGGCTGGAGCAGAGCGAATACGAGTGGCGGTATTATTAGTGGTGAAAGATGCATAAAAGAAAACTGAAATGTTGTTGCGTGCGCTTTTAACGCTCCTACTGGTAAAGCCTCTGTTATTTGTCATTGCAGCGGTGTTCTCAGTTTGCTGTTCTTGAGGTGTTGCTTGGCTGTTGTTGGAGTAATTAATATTTCGGAGGGTGACACGGAGGATGCAGTTTTTCCCACCTGGGATTAAAGAGACCTCAGGTGATCTCTCGGGGACACTTGAAGTGCACAAGTGCATGTTTGAAATCAATTTGCGCGTTTTCGTCCTCTGTGCATCTGTTGGGATGCGCACGGAAATTTGTGAGGAAGATAGTGAGAGAGGTGTGGTGTGTGTGTGTGTGTGTGTGTGTGTGTGTAGGGTAAAGTACGCGCGTAAAAATGCGTGCTGCTGGTTGTTGCGGACTGTGTCGTGTAAATTAGGCTGCAGAGTGCTGGGTGTGTGTGTTTGCGGGGGGTGAAGCGGTTCTGAGAGGATAGAGAGACCACAGAAAGAGGTCGGAGTGAGACCGAGAGAGAGATCTATGTCACTGTTGGTATGCAGACATGCACGACCATCATCCATCAAACTTAAGCTCTCCACACATTAAGACAGATGACGATTTGAGCCCGGTTCTGGCTATTAAGCAGTGATACTGATATTTATATTAATGCTGCATAATTACACGTTATCTTGATTTAGTTATCTGTGGACTGTCAGAGCATTGTTTACCTGATTGACTTCATGATCAAATGTGGATGCACAAGTTTTGACGTCCCCATCATGCAAAAATTTGTTTGGTTGTAGAAGAAAATCAAAGATCTTTGAAGGTCGAGGATGAACTGAAAAAGATAAACAAGTGCCAGCTTTGGCCTTATCGGCCAGCACCAGTGGCTTATATCAGTATATCAGATTTGTCGCAACCTCACAAAGCATAGAAGTTTTTATATTGTGACCAGGTACTCACTCCTACATTGTTCTAAAAATAAATTCCCAAGTGATAGAAGATTTTGGACGAGGCTCTGGCCTTTCTTTGTGGGGTTTGCATGTTCTCTCGGAGCCTCCAAGATCTTTCTGCCTACATTCCAGTGACGGGTTAAATGGTGATTCTAAAGTTGATCCTAGCTGTGGATTTGGGGCTTAATAGTCTAGCCTAGCTTTGTTGTAGCTGCTGAACTCTTATCAAGCACGCTCCAGCACTTATATGACCCCCAGTTAGGTTAGCAGTTAAGAAACTGCTGCTCAATGTTACTGAGACCTTGGAACCAACTTTTAATCAACTGCATGGGCAGGTGCTCGATTTCATACAGCTATGGGAATGGAGCTGAAAACACCTGAATTCAGAGATTAAGAGGTGTGGCACAATACTTTATTAGATTCATTTCAATGAACGCTACACTGTAATTTCACCGTTAAAGGTCATTCAGTCTCAAATCACTGTGGGCTCTCTGCTCGCCTATCTCCAATTTGGCTAAAAATTTTATATCCAAAGTTTGTAGCTTTTTATATAAAATACTTTTTTAAAATATTGCCTGCTTTTTTCACACTTTGAAAATCTGAGACAACCCTTGAACATGAATATCTAACAAAAAAAAAGTGGGAAAAAAAGAACGAGTGAGCAGAAAATGTTCTAAAAAATGTGAAGATTTGTGTTGGAATGACGCAGTTGGCAGCTGGATTTAAAGTAATTAAGAATACTGTGCTTTAAGCTTTATGACATCATATTGTCAGTAGTGTGGATGAGATTTTCCGATCATATTAGTGCTACTACAGTAATATAAAGAGGAACAGTATTAGAACATAAACAGTTTATCACCCTAAAATTACCTGTGGGTGTCCTCCTCTGTGTACTCTGAATTCAGTTTCCTGTTATGCTTAAACTGTGTTTGCAGCTTGGTATTCACTTCTTGCCTCACAAGGTTACAGTATTCCTGACCTGCTCAAAATTGTATCAACCACCCAAGGTGAAGACTGGCGAATTTCTATGGTAGTCTCACTCATTGCTGTCTAAACCTCAGCACAGCTTTCTGCTACACAAAACCTGGTAACTAGATCACACGTGAAAAAACAATCAAGGATTTGAACTTGAATTTACATGATCACACAAGAAAAAGATACAGTACTGTACCATTAATATACAGAAGCTCTTAATATATTTCGTATCTTAAACAAGATGTCAATGAACCATTACTGTGTGATATATGCTGTTAAATGCAGTCTGCCTGATAAACCACACACACAACTCCACACATTTGACTCTTTATAAGGTTGAATGGCTTCTAAACTGGTGGTGTCCCTTATATTTGTAGCCAGGCTTTTGTGTAAAATAGCCAGACATCCTCATGCAGCCCTCCCTGGGGTGGTTTTCGATGGAAGGTGAAGCAAACGCTGGGTGTGCGTTGCACTGTGGAGGGTCCAGAGGGAAAAGGATAGCGCAGACTTTAGACACAGCAAGAGATCTCACTCACCGCATCCACTTCCTGTCATCGCAGCGTGTTTTAAAGGAAAAGGGGGGTGGTTAAATAAATGTTCACCTCTAAATGTAATCAGAATAATTTAGAGTATTAATCTGCGACAAGTATAAAAATAAATGTCATGCGTTTCTTTCAGTCATTTAATTTCCTGAAACCTGGGGCCTATTTTTATTTTATTTTATTTTTTTCTTCTTCAGTGACTTCAAATTACATCACAACACTTTCACTGTTGTTATTCCTTTGTAGTGCAAAAGAGGAGCGAGCACAAATGTTTTGACTGATGCCTTCCTCAGTGTTCATTTTCTTGCAATCGAGTATCCTTTCTGTGGCAGCGCTTGATTTGTTCCAATTATGTAGAGCTGAACGCTGAGCTGGTGAAGACATCAGCTGAAATTCAAGCGTGCTTGTTAGTCTTTTGCATTTAAGAAGAAGAAAGATAAAGCTTAAGTGAAGTTTAAAAAACTGTGCTTTACTTGTAATTGTACGTAGCTAACACGAGCGGCGAACAAACAAAGGACTCTACACCTACAGGCTCTCACGAAGACATCACAGCACGTCGATTGAAGCCTCGTAAACACCACAGGAAGGAGTTTCTTGGGCTGGCAGTTCTGAAGGAGTTTGAAGGCTTAACATAGGAAGATTTTAATCTTTCTATAAAAACATGTTGTTTGTGTTTCATAAAATGAGGCGCGTGTGGTCCCTTTATATCTTCTTCATCCTCACGTTCATCTAATTTTGGATAAATAGATTAGGCATTACATCAGAGGCTTTCAAGGTGACCAAAGCTGACTCTGGAAGTTCTTTAAAGCAATTAGGCCAACTAAAGCATCTCTATCAACAGGGGTGAGGCTCCCCTGTGAACCATTAATTAAATAACTGTGCGATAGAGGATGATCTCATGTGAATGTTCAACCTGAACATTTCATTTCTTTGCAAAATCCAGAGTTAGAGCGAATGTTGGAGGTATTGATCCCAGCCTACGCAACTTTACGACATTCCAGGAGCAGGATGGAAAGAAGATGGGAGTTTAAACTTGAGCAGTTCAGAGAAACAAACCAGGCATCACTTCTAAGCATTGACTGCTGGTTTGGAGTAGCAGTTAAGGAGACGGTGTCCCTGTCTTTCCTTCAGCACCAGAAAGCTCGTGGCCACATGGACACTTTGTACAGTATATCCTCTCACACATTCAGACACACACAAACAGCTGGTTAATGAGAGCGTCGACTTAAAAAGGACATTAAATTCACTTCAGATGACACAAAACTGCCATTTACTCTTAACCCAGTCAAAACCACTTTCTTAACTTTAGTTCGATTCTTATTATTTAATGTTTAGCTTGCTTGCACGGAAGAAGATGTGCTACCACTATGTGTCTTTGTAAACAGCTTTATGAGTAATACATGAACTAAATATAATACACAACCTAGGTGCAACTGTTTCTGAGATAAGCTAAGCTACACTAGCCTCTGGCTGAAGCTTCGTAGTTTCCATATAGATATGAGAGTGGTATTGATCTTGTCTTCAGATCTGTGGATGTTTCCCAACATGCCAAACCCAATCATCCTACAACCAGTCACGCTCAAGTCTGCTCTCATTTTGCTTCCTTTCTCTTTTCACTCTTTGGGCATGAAGCAGAAATTGCTTTGTGGAAGTTCTTTAACTTCTAATTTTGCTTCAGAATACGAGATTATGCACGATCGAAATAGCATCTCAACACATGATGCTCACGATGATGATACTGCGGATGCAGGCACCCACACTGATTCTGTGTCAAATTTCAGCTCTGATACCTTTATTCTTTCAGCTGAAAACATGCTTACATGGTTAATATTTACAAATTAATTAAATTAGATCAATTTGATTTTTTTTCCTACAGCAGGGGTGTCAGACATGAGGCCCGGGACTAGAATTGGCCCGGCAATGACTCCAGTCTGAGCCTGTGGACAGTTTTAGAAAATGTGACTTCACTTTTAACTGTATTTTCAAGTTTTGCTAGTTTTCCTCTGCCCATTCATACTGCACCAAAGTAAATAAGCAATAGATAAACATTTAAATGACTAAAAACACTGTTTCTTACAGTGAATTCCCAGGTAAAGAAAAAAGAACTTAGTTTTGCTCTCCTTCTCACCATTCATGCTAGCTTTTGGGAACTACACATGTGAACTACATTTCCCATGTACACATGGTTTATGAAGCACAGGTGGACACTATTAAAAACTCTTTGCCAACATTTGGCTGAAGTTCTAGGAAGACATTTTGCTTTGATAACCTGCATCAGGCCTTCATTCACATTTCAGTTCTTTATATTTAGTGGTGAGTGTGATGGTCTTTTTTTTTTTTAAAGATTTTACTGAGTGGAAACACAAAGTGGAAAATACTGCTTTTCTCTGAGCAGAATCATCTTCCAGTCATACACCTAAAGTCTATAATTTCTTCCACAAATATTTTCTCAGATAAATGTTTCCAGGAAACCTCCATCTCACTGAGATTATGTGCAAACTCTTCTGGTTTGCATTGCAAAAGAAATGAATAAATTAAACTGAAATGAAATAATGGAGTGTGTTTCCATTATCATGAGTGCATATTTGGCAGCTTCGAGGTATATTGTTGTAAGGATTCAGTTATCTCCAACACAAGGAAGAGCTTGCTATCATAACATTTCCTATAGATTAGATTTGTTTTGCATTTTCATTGCGCGGTTTGCAACCAGACTCATTTAATCGAGTGCAGAATTGTTTAGATTTCCAGGCCTGTGTAACGTTATTTTGCACATTCACTGTGTTGCAACCAGCAAAGAGACTAGCTGTCTGCAGATGAATCAGTCAGAAGCTATTATTTCTTTTACAATGGACTAAATGGAAAGGCATCTGGTCCCAGTTATGTTTGGGATAAAATCTTCTGGCACTGATGAGCACAGAGGAAAAGAGGATGCATAGATGGAGCCCTCATATAGAAACCAGGGTGTCAAGTGTGTTTCATTTCTCTTTCCAGCTGTTTGCCCCCTATCTGACTTTGAACCTTCTCCTTCTTGCACCTAATCTCAGCTCAAGTGTCACACAACAATATTTTGACAGCTGTCAGAAGAGCACAGACAGGTCTGAGAAATGGGATGTCACAAGTGTGTTTGTGTGTGTGGAGTCGCATATATTGCATGTATTGTGCATGATTCGGTGATCGGTTGTTCTGTAGTAAATTAAAGGGCAATTTTATGGGGTTTAAAATCAACTTTTAACCTGCTGCAATTTGTTTCTGTACTTAGTGAGTGGTTTATTGGAATAATGTGCAATCATTTTTGCAACAGTCTCCATGTCCGCCTTCGCTACACCCATGAATCTTATCTGTGCTCTTCCTCTTTTACTCCTGCCTGGCAACTCCATCTTCAGCATCCTCCAAAGAGTTTCCACGCCGCTCGACCTGAGTTGTCCCTCTGATATACTCATTTCTAATCCTGTCCATTTTGGTCACATGTAACACAATTAATCTTCAACTCTGTCACCTCCAGCACGGCCTCCTCTCTTTTTGTCACTACTGCTGTCTCCAAACTCTACATCATAGCAGGCCTCACTACCATCTTGTAAACCTTCCCTTTCACTCTTGCTGCTATCCTTCTGCTTCTCTGAATGGAAATGAACGTGCAAATTAGTTTTCAAAATGAGATATTCATCTGACTGATTTTCATCATTTGAATTAATTCATGCACATGATGCCTCATTTTAACTGAAGAAACAAATTTTTATTCCCCTTGTAAAACAAGACATCACATCCTCTGTGGGAAAAAAAGCAAGTGACGCTCTTATATGCCAGGAAATATGATGTCCCACAAACTGAAATGATTGACTGGAATAATCAAGCAAAAACAGAATGTATTTTATTCTCCTTTAACTTCAGTCTCATGTGACGGGTCTGAAGGGAGTAGCGTAGAAGGGATAACAGAGAAAAGTAGGAGAATTGATGACGCCTCCATTGCATCCATCCTGTGGCTGCTGATAGAAAACCAGAAAATAGAGAGACATGGGAGACTGGAGCCCAACGCTCAGTTCTATGGTCCAATTTATCACTTTGTTTCTCACTCTCTTTCTTTCCCTAGACTCTGGAGACAGCACAGTTGGAAATAAAGAAGAGAAGACAAAGAAGAGAGGATAATTTAACACACGGGGAAGGCGACTGTAAGGGAGAGATGGCTGAGGCACAGCAGCAGCAGCAGCAACAGCAGGAGGAAGGAGGGGAGAAGGAGAAGGAAGAGGAGCAGCAGCAGTCGAGCCCCGTGGAGAAGACTGAATCTGACGAAGGGGTTGAAGAACCGAAGGAGATCGCCCAGACGACCCCGTCTCGACCTCTGCTCTCCACGAGGTCCATGAGCATCGTGGACCCAGATGATGACACGCCCAACATGATTGTTTACAGAAAGGTAAGAGCAAGTATAATCTTCAGCATCTTTTTGCTGACTCACAGTGGTTTGTGGTTTTGTTAGACAAATTTTAACCAGTTGCTGCTGGTGGTGCTGCAGACTTGAGAGAGTAGGACGGGGAATGCTTTTTAAGCGCTTCAGTGCAAAAGGATTTTTTGGTTTTGCTGTCTGTCAAACTCGAAAGTAAGTTTGAATAAAAAATAAAGCGAACATTCAGCTGATCTGTGAGAGTTTTGGAGCAAATTTTATTATTTTCAGGTGATTCTGAGATTTCTACGTTTGGCTGGAATCAGTGAGGCCAGTTCTGAAACTAGCTTTATTCTTTTTACATGTATTACATTTATGCATCTTTTACATGTATTTTAATTGGAGGAAGCCAGAGTATCAGCATAAACTCCAACAGGACAAAATTACTTTCTTTTTGATGTCTGTGTCATCAGAGATGGAGATTTACTGTATAGGTGCTATAATTATAGGTGTGATTATAACCCAAAGCTTTAGAGGTTTATTATTATTCCTCTACAGTAGTTACTTTATGCCACACAGAGCTGATTAAAAGACAAATGAATGTATTTCAAAGGCAGTCTTGCTCTCTCTTCTAAATGAATATGAGCTGTGACCGCATTACTTACCAGCAGGCAGCTGGTGCACACATTTAACTAATTATCATGCATAATTAGGATGCTACATACTAAAATTGAAGTTAATTCCTATTGGCTGGTGATGCAGCAATTTCCTCTTGGAGCTGCTGGAGTCATATGTATTTGAAGAGCTGCTGCTCTGATATATGACACTAGAAATGAAGGCTCCTGCTGCGAACTGAGATGGAAAGTTTTTGGACAGGTGGCGAAAAAAGTGAGAGATTGTTTTTCATAAACAAGCTTGCAGTATGTTTCTTTTGATCAGAAAAGACACACATCAAATTTATGGAGAGGATAGTTTCAGAAATAGCAGGACGTCTTTGTGAGAAATGGGGTTTTAAAAGAAGTGTGAAGTGAAGAGACTACATAAGACATCAGCTGAGCCACCACTGCAAGTTGGCAACTGCATTAAGTACCATAGATAAATAAAGAATAGTGGAAAAAAAACACTAACTCCTAAATGCTGGTCCAGAAGGACTAGCTGTCTAGAAGCAGCACACCACAAATGAAACTGTCCATGATAAGTTAATGCCAAAATGTTGTACATAAAATATAAGGGAGGAGGCTCGGTTGCCATTTTTTGTAAGTTTGTAAGTAAGGAATCAATGCACTATGTCATGTCAGCCCAACCTGAATGAAAGACAAGGGGGAAGGAGATGAATTTACTCTGAGGGCAATCTCGCCTCCTGTGCTAAATGAACGTGTCAGTATTGTTTACCAGCAGGCAGCTAGTGCACATTTTTACTTATTTATCGTGACCACGGAAGTGTGGCTCTATAGGGATGAGGAGATGAAAAAGATGAGAAGAGAGTGATGGAAAATGATCTCTACTAGCCATAGCGTGTCTGTAATGCAAGAATTAATGGGTGAAATTGGCTGAAATAATTTCTCTCTGTCAGTAAGCACTAAATTCTGCGATCAGAGATGTGAAGGATATTTAATGGAGGCTGAGAACTTGTTTAAATGCTGAGTGGGCATTATCAAATTACTTTGCATCCTATTCAGTCTTGATGAAGTCTTGATGAAGCCTGGAAATGAACCACAGTGACAGCACTTGCACTTGACAATATAAAGAAGCAGCACTTGAAGATAAAACTTACTAGTGGCAAACACTATTTTTGCTTTTTGTTTGGACAGATAACCTTTTCTGGTTCAATTAGTTTAACAAGTGCTCAAATGACTCAAATCAAGAGCTAATTTCATATCTGGGGTGTATTCTACTCATTTATTTTTATTCAAGTTTGAATAAAAAGGTGCAGGAAGAAGAAAATGTCATAAATGTGGCCTTTCTAAAATGAATCGTTTACATTGGTAGAACACATACATTTAGTTGCATATTTGTCACACAGTAATTGCCCCCAATATTAACCTATGCATTAACTGCGATTAACCACATTTTTTTGAAAAGCTGAGTTCAGTTAGATCAGCCACACCCAGGCCTCATTACATGTTAAGGAAAGAAATCACTTAAATGGAACAAAGTTATGTAGGCTAAAAGATCTTTAAAAAATCAACACACCATGTCAAGATCTAAGAAACAAAGTCACTGACATCTATCAGGAAAGGGTTACGAAGCCATTTCTAAGGTTAGGGGACTTGAAACAGTGGAAACCTTACCAGGAATGGCTGGCCTACATCGACAACTCATCCAGAAACAACATCTAAAGAACTGCAGACCTCATTTGAGGTCAGATTTCATGATTCAGCAATAAGAAAAAGACCAGGCAAAAATGGCATCCAAGAGTTCCAAGGTGAAAACTACTGCTCACCCAAAAGAACACAAAGATCTCACATTTGCCAAGAAATATCTCGATATACCCCCAAGACTTTTGTTGTTGAACCTTTTGAAAGGTTTGAGTCCCGCGGTAGGTGGCATAAAACTAAACAGCATTTCATAAAAAACATTATCATCAGTCAAACGTGGTGGTGTGATGGTCTGGGACTGCTTTGCTGTTTCAGCACCAGGAAGAGTTGCCTTACATGATGGAACCATGAATTCTGCTCTCTTTCAAAAAATCTTGAAAGACAGTACCTGAGCATCAGTTCATGTCCTGAAGCTTAAGCACATTTGGGTTTTACAGCAAGATCATGACCTGAAACACAAAAACAAGTCCACCTCTAAATGGAAAAAATCAAGCAACTAAAGAAACAAACAAACAATAAAACCCAAATGAAAAAACAACAACCAGGTTTTGGAGTGATCTTGGCTGGACTCAAATCAAACATGAATTTTATGCCTGAAAACCCTCAGACATGGTTGAATTCCAATAATTCTCAAAGAAAAGTGGGACAAAATTCCTCCAGAGCCATGTAGAGTTGTTCCTAGTAATTGCAAATGTTTGACTGCAGTAGGTTTGGATTTGTTTAATCTGAAACAAAAAAGGAACTTAAGAAGGAAGGAAATACTTTTTCACAGCACTGTACATGCAGACAAATGTAAACATGCAGATGACTGCACAATATGTGTTCACCACCAGAAAAGAAAACAGTGGTATCATCAGGAAAAAGGCCATAGCTGGATATTGTTTTAGACACTACAGTTGGGTAGGTCTGAGTTCTTGCTGTAGGCTATTTAAGAAGAATGGTTTATTGATTTATCCAAGATGCTAAGAAAGTTGGGTTTGAATATCTGTATGAAGGGTCTATGGATGATTTGATGCAGGAGGATATCTACAGTATAGATTTTGTCCCGATTTGGATGAATGCAACTGAAGACGCACGTGTCTTAATATCCTGAAACTGGATAATGAGATTGCATTGTCTGATACAATGTTACTCACTCTGAGTGTCTTATTATTATATAATAATTATATAATAAAGTATTTACTGGTGATGTTGATGAAGGATCTATAAATGGATATTTCCTGCTAAGAAAAATAATTTTAGTGAGATGAACCTATGTGTATCGATCAGTCTGTGTATTGATTTATGTATTTTGACTCATCTGACCTACACATTCGCCCTCTGTTCTCAGCTGCTTTTTCATTGGATCATTTCTGTGCGATGTTTTTTAAGTGTATTTGAACCTTCTTTTCTTTTTTTAAACAATTCTTCTTATCTTTCCATGATGACAAGAACAACAATGAGACAGAAAAATCTGAATGTTGATAAGTGGTAGGACTGATGAACTCATGGTAGACTATTTCAGTATCTGTAGTCCATCTGGCTTTGGAAATGTCATTTATCTAAAGATGCTGGAGGTGGAGCTGGAATCGCAGGACTCCAATTGCCAGTAAATGAATAAATAAACGAGTTCCTGATGCAGGATAGAGACGAGAGTTTACAGATAGAAAAAGAAGCTGTGTGGAGAGATTGAAAAACAAGGAAGCAGAAAATAACAGATGGTATAAGTGTCACAGACCCAGTTCCTGGGACTCGGGGATGGTGAGCAGTGTGGACTATTATTATTATTGTATTGGATGTATGTTTGCTGCACTGTGCTCTTGTGTTCCATGCTGGTGTGTGTACGTGTGTGTGTCTGCGGGTGTGGCTGGACAGCCACCTGCAGGCCTGATGGGTGTGGCCCTGCCAGCTGCTGATCACGCCTAGGTTCTCACACACCTGCTTCTGATCAAGCTTGTCGGGGGAGCTACTTAACAGAGTGATGGAGCTTCCTCTGGCGCAGGATTGTTGAGTTAGACTCCATGAGGAGAGCGGAACACAGTACAGCAGGACGCACGGAATACCAGCACTTAGGAGAAGGCACAACACAGGAGTTGAGGGAGCACATTGGAGATTTATTGTGTGCGGTACATTACCCCACTGTAAATAAACGCACTGTTCATTGCACTTAGTCCAGCGTTTGGGTCCTTTCTCCAACATCCCCACGGCTTGCCCTGGCAGACCGTGACAATAAGAGTGCAAAAATAGTTTGATAGCAAAGAAAAACAGTAGGCAAAGGGTAAGGAAAAGATAACAGAAAAAATACCAAAAAATATGAATCTGTAGAGTTAAAATGTATCTGAGCAGCAGCCTTACACATGTTAGTTGAAGATAAGAGCACCTGTCATCTAATATAATTTCTCCAGCAAAGAAGTCGTAGTATCACCAAGATATATTTTAAAACCTCTGTTCATCGGAGCGTGAATGTGTGTCAATGTTTATTAGTTTGCACTTAAATTTAGAAGTGCTTGTGAATGGGTGAATGAGGCATGTTGTATAGAGCGTGGGGAGAGTAGAAAACACTATATAAGAATTAGTCCATTTTCAAAATCATAATATCCTCTGCTAAATTTGAAGTATCTTTTACCGTGGTTGAACCAAAAAAGCGTTTTGTGGAAAAAACAAAAAAAGACAGTCAGGAGAGGTTTTTATTTATCAAAAACATTTCTTCAATTTTTCAGATTCAGTTCAAAAAAT